TGCAATGAAATCAGTTGTTGAGAGGGAGAAAGATAAGAGATCAATGTTGACTGCATTTTTCAAGATGAATAAAGATAACGTTAATGCAAGAGAATATTTATACAAAGATTTTCCCAAACACTTCACATGGAATAAAGAATCGCGTCTATGGAATCCTCGAAAAGTATCACGAGCAGTTGGTCGTTTGGTTTCTGCAAATCCTGCTGAAGGTGAGCGATACTATCTACGTGTGTTATTATGTCATGTTAGGGGTCCTACATGTTTTGAAGATCTGTACACAGTCAATAACGTAAGACATCCCACATTTCGAAAAGCGGCTCTTGAAAGAGGGTTAATAGAGACAGATGATAGTTTATCGCAGTGTCTTGTAGAGGCCTCCTTGTTTCAGTTTCCAAATGCTCTCAGAAGGTTGTTTGCAACGATATTAGTTTTTTGTGATCCTGGAGATGTTCGCAAGATATGGAATTCCCACTACAATTCTCTCTCCGAAGATTATAGTAGACAATACGATAATGTCAATCGAGTACAAAATATGGTCCTTACAGACATAAGCGTATTCCTACAGTCTATGGGTAACAAGCTTGATAACTTTGATCTCCCGACTGTAAACACCGATTTGAATTTTCAGTCTGGAGTTTTTCGAGAGGTACAAGAAGAATGCTCTATAATTGTGGAAGATGACCATTTGCGTGCCAAAGAGTTTCTCAATCCTGAACAAAAATATGCATATGATGAGATCATGAGGCATGTGTGTACTGATTGTACAGGAGTGTTCTTCATAGATGGTCCTGGCGGAACAGGAAAAACATATCTGTACAAAGCTTTACTTGCTAATATACGCAAACTTGGTCATATTGCACTCGCCACAGCTTCATCGGGTGTTGCGGCTAATAACATGCCTGGGGGGAGAACAGCTCACTCGCGTTTCAAACTTCCTCTAACTCCAGATAATAACTCATTCTGTAGAATCCAAAAACAAAGCGGTACCGCTCAACTACTTCGGCTTGCAAAAATAATCATATGGGATGAGGCATCGATGGCAAAGCGACAGGTGGTGGAGGCGTTTGATCGGACAATGCAAGATATCACTGGGGTGGCACTCCCTTTTGGTGGAAAGATAATGGTTCTGGGAGGCGATTTTAGACAAGTATTGCCAGTCGTAAGACGTGGGACACGAGCACAAATTGTAGACTCTAGCCTACGAATGTCGCCTCTTTGGTCTTCGATTATAAAGTTGCGGTTAACAATAAATATGAGAGCACTTACTGATCCATGGTTCTCAAACTTTCTATTACGGGTTGGTGATGGAGTTGAAGAAACAGTGGACGGAAGTTTTATTCGCATCCCTGATGATATGGTCATTCCATACACTGATAAAGAAAAATCATTAGATTCTTTGATTGATGCAGTGTTTCCCTCATTGGAATTTAATAGGTCTGAATCAGATTATATCATATCGCGGGCAATATTATCTACAAAAAATGATAGTGTCGATGCGATTAACGATTACATGATCGATCGATTTCAAGGAGAAGAGAGAATTTACTATAGTGTCGATGAAGCCATAGATGATAAAAATGGCTTCTATCCGTTGGAATTCTTAAACTCGATCAGTGTTAGTGGTTTACCTCCGCATTACCTTCGATTAAAAGTTGGATGTCCGATAATACTGTTACGGAATATTGACCCAGCAAATGGGTTGTGTAATGGCACCCGATTGATATGTAGAAGCTTTCAGCAAAATGTTATTGATGCAGAAATAGCTGTTGGTCAACATGCAGGAACAAGGATATTTTTGCCTAAGATTCCTTTATGTCCATCTGATGATGATATGTTCCCATTCAAGCTAAAGAGGAAACAGTTTCCTATTCGATTGTGCTTTGCAATGACAATCAATAAAGCTCAGGGACAAACAATTCCATATGTAGGTATCTATCTTCCAGAACCAGTATTCTCGCATGGACAACTTTATGTTGCATTGTCCAGAGGGGTTTCACGTTGCAATACAAAAGTATTAGTACAGCCTAACGAAAATTCAAAAGGTGATGGGGTTTATACAGCAAATGTGGTGTATAAAGAAGTATTGCACGATTAATATTTTGTATTGTCTTGACTGGTTGCTTTTTATTGGTTATTTGATGCATGATGTAACAAATAACACCATAGTTTGATTATATTGTCTTCAACATGTACTTTTTTTTAACATAACAATTTTGTAATGGAAACATATCACCGAAAGAACTCACGTGCCCCGCCGCTTTGCGCGGGTAGACGGCTAGTATATATATATATATATATATATAGGTTCAAATGTTTTTAACAAGTATTATGCTTAAATGCACAATAGAAATTTAAGAAAATATAAGAGTATAATAGTAATCTATACTATAATTAATTATGGTAAATTAATAAAAACAATTAATATCCCCTTTTAAATTAGGATATCAGTTTGAAAACCTCACCCCCATCAGATTAGGGTTTTACGCACCTGGTAATCGATCGTTGAGATGCACTGGTGTCGCATTGAGTGTTGAAGCAGGTTTGATTTGTGCTTGTTCGCCTGGAACGGGTGGTCGTATAGTGGCTTTGGTTGGTGGGCCATGCACAGAAGGCTCTTTAAGTTCTTTCCTTCAAATATTATTTTAATATTTTTTTTATCATATTTTGCATCAAAATTAGTACCGATCATTTACGGAGCACTTTTTGATTTTTTTATAACATTTTAGATAAATAATTAAAAAGACCTCAACGTCAAAATTGATCATTTACGAAATAAATTTTGAATTATCAAATCGATATTACAACGAAATACTTAATAAATGCAATGTAGTTATGTTAGTTTACGAATTCATATACTTGAGTGAACTAATTTTTATTAGATTATATATCCGTAATTTAATTAGCAACAACAACAGATTTATTTGATATTGTACCAAATTATAAATATAATAGTTTATAACTCGTTGGAACTACGGTTACAAAATTAATTAAAATTTCATTTTAAAAATTTAAAATTGTTAATCTATTATTTTAAATAAATTATCAGTTAAGAGATATTTTTATTAGTTATGTAAAATTATATTCGTTGATTCAAATAAATATATGAAATTAATTTTCAATTTATATTAGACAATTTTTATTTGTGAATTAATGTAAACAGTAATATAAAATTTAAAATGGAAAATAAAAAATAAACAGATTGACAAGTAATATCATATTAATTATGAGGTGTAATAAATTTATAATGGATAATTAATTAATTGATAAGTAACATCACATTAATTAGGATGTCTAATATGAAACAACTACTAGTATAAGGATAAAAAACTAAACTTTACTTGTGAGTAATAACTACTGTATATGATTTTATGCATGATGTATAAGTGTTTAATGCAGGAAGTCCAAATTAAATCCCCCAACTTTTTATAATTCTTCACTTATAACCTATACTTTGTATAACATGTCACTTGCAACCCCTCTATTTTGTAAAATGATATTTTTTATTTATTTACTTTTTAAAATATCTCTTTCACTCCCTTTACATTCAACTTTGTATTATATCACTTTCAACTTTTCAATTTCTAAACTTTTGTATTTATTTTGGTCCTCGTAAAATTTATTGTAGCTAATAGTACAAGTGGTAACCCCTTCAACTTTACTTTGTAAATTATCACTTCACCCCCCTCACCTTCAACTTTATAAATTATCATTTTTACCCCCTTTATTTTCTAAATTTTTGTATTTATCTCCGTCCCGTTCATTGTAACTATTAATACAAGTGGTAACCCCTCTATTTTTAAAATATAAATTACACCCCTTCTACCTTCAACTTTGTAAAATGTTACTTCCACCTCTCATTTTTTAAGTTTTTGTGTTTATCTCCGTTCGGTAAAATTCACTAAAATTGACTGTAGTGAATAGTACAAGTGGTAATGCACAATATACAAGCATATCAATGCTTAAAGTATAGTTTTAAACCCTCAACTTCGTATATTCTGTCATTTTAAACCCTCATATTTAGTAAAATGATTTTTTTTTCATACTTTTACTTTTTTAAAATATCCCTTTCACCTATTCGTTTTCTAAACTTTCGTGTTTATCACGTAGTATATATAAATATGATTTTTCCTTCTATACTCTGTAAAATGCATTTTCCACCCCTCTATCCTTTAGAAATTTACTTTACTCTCTCAATAGAAAAAATCACTATAGCTGATACTATTTTATATAATCCGTTACTTGCAACCCCTCTATTTTATAAGATAATATTTCCGTCAATTTACTTTTTAAAGTATCACTTTCACCTCCTCCAACTCCAACTTTGTAAAATATCACTTTTACGTCTTCATCTTTTCTCCTCAACTTTGTATTATCCATCACTTGGAACCCTTCTATTTTATAAAATGATATATTCTATCTTTTACTTTTTAAAATATCACTTTCACCTCCTTTGTCTTCAACTTTCGAAAATTTCACTTTCACTCATTCGTTTTCTAAACTTTCGTGAGTATTTAGTATCCCCGTAGTATATATAATTGTAATTCGTAACAAAAACTCTTAAAAACCCGTGGCGAAGCACGAGCTCAATTGCTAGTTTAATACATAAGATGATAAACAATAAATGAAACACAATGACATATAAGTCATAAAAAAAAGTAGTACATAAATAGATAATAGACAAAATTGCAAGTTTGGTCCCATGTGGTATGTCAAAAATTGAATGTTTGGTCCAAAAAGTTTTGGGATTGCACCGATAGTCCAAAAGCTTTGATTTGTTGTGGAATTGATCCAAAGGCTTAACAGCCGTTTACCCCCTCCGTCTGTGTGAGGGTATTTTTGTCAATTCACGCCCATTCCTTTGATATCTTATTAAATTAAACTGGTGGTCCAATTCTACAACAAATCAAAGCTTTTGAACTATCGGTGCAACCCCAAAACTTTTTGGACCAAACATCCAATTTTTGACATACACACGACCAAACTTGCAATTTTGTCTAGATAATAGAATAAAAAAAAAAAAGAAATAATAAGTTGGTTAACTAGTTTCATACGAGTCCACATATAAAAATGGGCAAGAATTCGAAACCCCATCCACTTTGGTGGGAGTCAAATGGAAGTGATATGTAGCTCCTCTTCCGTCTCCGTATTCGTCTCCCCGCGCAACAATCTCTGTTTCGCTCCTAAGGTATGCGCTCATCCTTAATTTTTCTTTTGATTAATTCCATTTTCACAATTTCATTGCAATCAGTTATAGAATCCTTCTAATTTTGTTCGAATTTACTACCACATTCAACACATTAACTTGACCTAGATTACATTGTTGCCTTTTTCTATACTTCAATCGCTTTATCCATAGCAATCCTTAATTGTTACCGGAAAGTATAAATTGCGTGTAATTCGAGTAAGTAAAGTTGTAAAATGTGAAATTATCATGGAATGGCGATGAAATCACACAGTTATACTATTGTTCACGTTTTTGGATGTATTTTTTCTACAGGTGCTTCCATGGAACTCTTTACTTGTTAGCTCTGTAAAACGTCAAATTTGTAACTCGATTTCATGTGTAAGCTTAAATGCTAGCAATAGATTAGGAGCTTTCAACCCTAACAAGCAGCAGAACGGAAGTTTCTTCTGGTTGATAAGAAGGTTCAACAAAAGATTCGCTTTCCAACATGTTGTGCTTTTTAGGAGGAATGGAAGGTTATTAACGAAGTTAAGGAATCATACTATCAACCTTCGGAAACTAGTGAAGAGTTCTGAGAAACTTAAAGATCTGTTTCCAGTTCTATTTGTCCGAATTATCTTGGGAATGATGATCTTTATGGCAATCACTATTCCTGTTAGCAAATCTCCTTCCTGTAAGTTTTTGATCTTTACATTTTTCTTCAAGGTATGAAGATCTCCAATTTTATTCTGAGTTGATATGTAGGGGCACTCACAGAGGAGAATCTTTTATTCCTTGAGGCATGGAGAACAATTGATCGTGCATATGTTGACAAAAGCTTCAATGGTCAAAGTTGGTTTAGGTACAGAGAAAATGCACTGAGAAATGAACCAATGAACAATCGTGAACAAACATGTAAAATTTCATTCTTTTACACTTCCACATTTCTTTCATTTTCTTTACTAATAACAATTCTCTAAAACATGTTTCTATCTTGGCATTCAGATGCAGCAATAAAGAAGATGCTTGCCACCTTAGATGACCCTTTCACCCGTTTTTTAGAGCCTGAAAAGTTCAAAAGTTTAAGGGTATGAAAAATTGAAAATGAAGCTGACTATATTTCAATGAGATTTACTTTCTTTTTTTTTAAACAAATATGTTTTATGAAGGCAGTCAGGAACACAAGGTGCACTTACAGGGGTAGGATTGTCAATTGGTTACCCAACTGGAAATGATGGAGCTCTTTCTGGACTTATGGTTATTTCAGCTTCTCCAGGTGGGCCCGCAAGTCGGGCTTCCATTGCCCCTGGTGATTTAATTCTAGCCATTGATGATTTTAGTACAGAAACAATGGATATTTATGATGCAGCTGAACGTTTACAGTAAGTTATATATTATCAAATAAAGAAATAGATATTAAAAAAATTTTAAATCTTGAAGTTAGTTATAAAAAATGTAACTGATTTGCAGGGGGGCTGAAGGAAGTGAAGTACAGTTAAAGATACAAAGTGGGCCCGAGATAAAGCAGTTATCTTTAACGTATATCATTCTTTCATTTAAATTATAAATTTATAACAAAAAATGTGTATTGAGATTAAAATTATGTGATATGAAGGAGGGAAAACATTTCACTAAATCCAGTGAGGTCAAGAGTGTGTGAGACACCTGGCATGGGGAAGGGTACCTCAAAGATTGGATACATCAAATTAACATCATTCAACCAAAATGCTTCTGGTAATATTTTATAAGCAATTCTTTTACTATATTAATTTTTTTTATAAAAATTGCTTCCAACTTGTAACAAATTTTACTCTTTCTAGCTGCTGTGAAGGAAGCAATTGAGACTTTAAGAAGAGACAATGTTGATGCATTTGTCTTGGACCTTCGCAACAATAGGTAATAATATTTTATAAAAAATAAAAATTAGTGTTTTTTGGGCTTCATTTTTGTAACACTTTTTAAAAAGATGATAAAATTTTTGATGCAGTGGTGGTCTTTTTCCTGAAGGAATTGAAATTGCTAGGATTTGGTAAGCCTTTTTGTTCTCCTAACTTTCTGTATTTAAGTTGTTCTTTTTGTATCAAGTCAAAAAGAACTAAAAAAGATTTTTCTTTTTTATTTATTTTTAATTTTTAAAAATTATATGAAACAGGTTGAACAAGGGTGTGATTGTGTACATATGTGATAGTCGTGGAGTTAGAGATATATATGACACTGATGGAACAAATGCAATAGCAGCTTCAGAGCCTCTAGCTGTTTTGGTAATGCTAATAATTTTAATAATCAACAAGGGCAAATTTGGAAAAAAGTCAAAAAGAAAATTAAGTGTTTTTGTGTGTGTTTTAGGTGAACAAAGGAACTGCAAGTGCAAGTGAGATATTGGCTGGGGCATTGAAGGATAACAAACGTGCAGTGCTTCTTGGGGAACCTACTTTTGGCAAAGGGTAATAAAGTAATTTTTCATTTAATGTTTTGTTCTCTTTTAGAAAGTCAAATATATTTATTTAATTTTTAATTTACAGAAAAATACAATCGGTTTTTGAACTCTCTGATGGCTCTGGCTTAGCTGTTACTGTTGCTCGTTATGAAACCCCTGATCACATTGACATCAATAAGGTATGTATGTATGTATGTATGTATGTATGTAGGTATGTATGTATGTATGACCAAATTTTGTATTGGTGTTGAGGAATGTAGGTTGGGATAACACCTGATCATCCATTGCCAGCATCATTTCCAAAGGACGATGATGGTTTTTGTGGGTGCATAGGGGACCCAGCATCTGGATGTTTTCTAAACAAAGTTGGATTATTTTCAAGATGATAAATTAAAGACTTGTGTTATGTAAATTAAAACTCCATTAAGCATTCATTTTGATTGTTGCTTACTTGTTAACGATTCAAATGTGTATAGTTTTGAAAGAAATATGAAAAAATAAAATGAAGTGAAACTCTTGTTATGAGCTAGTTGTTGATTAAATGGAGTATTTGGTTATCGTAGAAGATCGAACATGTGAGTTAGAATGTTATATACAGACACAAGATATGAAAGATCCTAACTTTTGTGTTTCTGAAAGACCCAAACTTTCATGCTTCACAATATAGTTACTTCAAAACATGTTACATGCATATTTATAAATAATATTTTAAGTCTAGTTTAAGTCAAGTTATAAGTCTAGTATTGAGTAAAGTAAAGTAATATTTCAAATGTTGTAGCCTTTTTTTTTTTTATTTTAATGAAATGCTTGTTTTTTTTAACAGAATGTATTAAATTAGAAAAAAATCAATCTTGACCCACCTCTGAAATTGACATTCATGTTGTGTGGTAAAAGTGATGTGACAATGAGGTGGATGTCAAAAATTTGATGTGGAAAACGTACATCACTCCCTCTAACATAATGGGAACCTTATGAGTCAACTTTGTTATCACAAAACTAATTTTGTAAGTTTGTTTTCTTATAATAAAAATATGATAGATCCTTGTTGAATCTATCGTATACCCTAGACATTCTAACAGGTTCACAGCAACAAAACACTCAATAATACCAGAAAATTAAGATAGATTTCCCATGCATTCGAGAGGAATGGACTCTGGAAAAGAAGAACAAAACAAATCAATTCTTAGCTTCCTAAACAATAACCCCCTGAAAGGATATATACTAGACATGATCAATGAAAGATACTCCAAAAGGCGTGGTTCCTCAAACAGACAAGGGGCAAAGATAGTGCTCCTAACATAACAAAATAGCTAATAACAACCATAATACCAAAAAGACCATTCTACCCCTAAAGCTAAATAGATAACGGAATGACTCTAATAAAGCAAATTAAGTAAAAACACTCTAGGATTACTTGGGGCTTATCAAAATAGTTTGAAGGGCTAATCATATTAAACAGCTAAGTTTTTCAAATCCCTCATGTTTTACTATTTTCCTCATTTCGACTCATTTTATCTAATTTGTCTGAAAAACCCTCAAAACATGGCTATCCATATGTTTTTTTTTTTTTTTTTTTTTTCCTTTTATTTTTAATTTTTTTTTGGTAAACTAACGTTTTTTTTGAACCCTAACACATTTGAGAAAAACTTTGTCAAACAATTTCTTTTGGAAAATAAAAGCATTTGTCATTACTAGAAGATTGCATATAAACCCGATAAATAAGTTAAAACGAAAAAGTTGGTAAGCCTTTGACATAGTTAACCCTAAGGGTTAACTATGTAAATGATTCAATGTTTAAAAGGATTTAGAACTAATGTAAACAGTTTCGGTTCCGGCTCAATGTTGGAATCGATCGAAAGTGATTATGACTATTGTTATTAATTTTTTGAAACTGTTATCCGATGGGTACTTATTAAAACTGGTGTGTTTATATATATATATATATATATATATATATATATATATATATATATATATATATATATATATATATATATATAACTAGGGGTGTAAGTGAACCGAACTACTCGTGAGCTACTCGGGATCGACTCGTTAAAAGCTCGACTCGAGATCGAATTAAACGAGCCTGAGCCGAGCTCGAGCCTAAATATGAGGCTCGTTTATTAAATGAGCTCGAGCCGAGCTTCAATTAATGGGCTCGCGAGCTTAAACGAGCTTAAACGAGCCTCTATATATATACACACACACATACACATACATACATACACACACACACATATATATATATATACACACACACACACACACATATATATATATATACACACACACACACACATAGAGGCTCGTTTAGGCTCGATTAGGCTCGCGAGCCCACTAAATTATTCATGAGCTGAGCGCGAGCTTCATTTTAAGGTTTGAATCGAGCTCGAGCTTCCTCAAATTAAACGAGCCGAGCTCGAGCTTTGTCAGGCTCGGCCTCGGCTTGGCTCGTTTACACCCCTATATATAACCTATGGAAAAATTGAAAATGATTATGATTTGGTACAGTGAGACTTTGTTTTGTCAAATAGCACTATAAAATATATACCGTTAAACTTAAACATATTCATTTTAAGTGATTTGATACATTGAGATTTTGTTTCATTAAACATCACTATATAATTTTGAAGTTTAAAAGGATTTAACATCTTAACATCTTTTTGTTGTTCAAAAGTTAATGTTTTTCACTTTCTTTTTCCTTTTGCAGGGAGAGATGCTACATTGTGGATTGTAATTAGTAGTTATTTTGAGTATTTTGCAAGGTTTTGAAAACCGGACCGGAGACCGAACCGGTCGTTTTACTGGTTCGATGGTTCAAGTGGTCCAACCGGTCGGACCGGTCTCAAAAACCGGAAAAACTGGATGATATCATAATTATATTTAATTATATAAAAATACAAAAAATGAAAAAAAAAATATATTTTTTAAAATTTCCGGTTTTGACCGGTTTTACCGGTTCAACAGGACCGGTTTTTACCGGTTCAAACAGATACCGGTTTTTTGATCTTTATGAACCGGATTCGGGATCGGTTCCCGGTTGAACCGCCCGATCCGGTCCGTTTTCAAAACATGGGTATTTTGTATCTGAACTAGAACCGAATAATTCCAAAAAGTTTAATAACCGGTTTGACTGGCTCTTTGATTTTGGTTCATGTCGAATTAATGGAGTACATATCCAATGTTTACCACTTCATTTTTAATTAACCCTATTTGAGTCATATAAAAAAGATATTGATATTAATAAATTGTTTTTTAATAAATATAAAATTATTTTGCAATTTTTTTAAATTAATCAAATGATTTCCTAATTTAAATTAATCAAATGATTTTCTAATTATGTTTTATAAATCTTTTGTAAACCAAGATTTGAAAAAAAAATATATTTAATTCAACAAAATCCCAAAAGAAATAAGAAAATGAAGAAATATAGAGGGGCTATTTGGGAAACTTACAATCGGCATTAAGGCATATATAAAGGAAATTTCAAGTGCACCTTCCTTTTTCTTCGACACGAACTTTTTGGAGAGAGAAAATGAAACCAATGCCAGTGGAATTGTTCGGAGAGATGGAAGAACAAGCATCAACGGTGGCTATGGACGTCGACGACGTCGAAGCACTCGATATTTTCGGAGAAGGTCCTATCGCCGCCTTGGATCACCACCGCTTGACCGATTCCGATTTCTTTAATTCCTTCGAAGACGATTTCGACGACGCCGACATCAATTGATACTAATCTTACGGTCACATCTTTTATTTCTTTAAACTTTGTTTTACGTAATTCGAACGGTGTATTTTTTTTTCTTTGTTGTGATTGGTTTCCGATCCACAAATTCGCAAAACAGGAACAGATTGATCAATCTGATGAGAAATTTTTATTTTTCCACTGATGTAACGTTGATTTAGGGCTTGTTTTCGGAATTGAAATTGATTGCTTCAAATCATGCTACAAATTTGTTTTTTGATAAGCCAGTATTGATATGTATTGTATTAGTTGAATGAATCTTCAACAAAATTGAAGATTGCAACTTGCAAGACGGTTTAGGGGTCGGAACCGGAACCGATTAAGCTGACCAATAAGCCGGTGCCATCCCGGTTTCCAGTCGAATACCCGGTTTGGAAGTTGGAACCCAAACATATTATACTATGTGTTAAATGAACTAGTCATATAGTCAATATTTTGAGCAGAATAATATCAAATCAACAAATTAACCGAAAAACGTGAATACCAAATGAACCAACAAAAAGTAATAATAATAAAACATACATCATAGTTATCGTAACACAGAATTTATAGTTTAATACCGATTCAACTAACAAAAGTTGGCATATTCTCCATTCCTTTGTCATCTACTTTGTTTAAACACACAACGAATGATTTTTAGTATTTAATAAAAAGTAATCATCGTATCAAAATAGAACACAAATTGTAAAAAAAGAAGAAGGAAACCCAAAGCTATGTATATTATCAAATTTCTAGGCTTTCTAACCCAATCTTGGATGCACACCAAACTTTCAACTATCAATGTGGACAAGTTAGTCTGATACTAATTTAAACTATACCACTAGTACTAAACACGATTGAAATTTGTATTGTCAATATGTCCAACAACAAAAAGAATTACAAATTGTAACAACTTTAATTTATAAACAAACTATGAAAGATTAAAAAAAATAGTAATGACCTTTCACGATCCGAGCATATCCAGAGCCTTATCGTGTTAACTTTATACTAGTCGAGGATATCAAAATCTTATTTGTAAGCTATTTGATTCTCTTTCAAATAGTTTCTTAACTTGTTATCCTTTTGATCCGAGTTGCCAACCTTTATTTCGTAAGCTACTTCGGATCCAAGTTGCCACCTTTAGATCTGAGTTGCTGCTTTAATTTATAAACAAACTAGGAAAGACTAAAAAAAGTAGTGATTACCTTTCGCAATCCGAACAAGTACCCGAAGCTTTATCGTGTTAACTTTATACCAATCGAAGATATCAAAATCTTGTTTGTAAGCGACTTGATTCTCTTTCAAATAGCTTCTTAACTTGTTATCCTTTGGATCTGAGTTGCCACCTTTATCTCGTAAGCTCCTTCGGATCCAAGTTGCCACCTTCACATCCGAGTTGCCACTTTAATTTATAAACAAACTAGGAAAGACTAAAAAAAGTCGTAATTACCTTTCGCGATCTGAGCATGTACCCGAAGCCTTATCGCATTAACTTTATACCAATCGGGATATCAAAATCTTGTTTGTAAGCTACTTGATTCTCCTTCAAATAGCTTTTTAACTCGTTATCCTTCGGATCCGAGTTGCCACCTTACGTATTAAGAAATTATCGAAACAATCGCTATCATCATCACAAGCAATGACCTTTTGATGACTTTCTTGTTGAAAAGACCCACCATTGTCAAATCTTTCCAAATAGGCCAAACAATTTCTCCATCCCCATCTAGACTTCTCGAACTTGACGAGCTTTAAACTCTTTGATCGGGTTCTTCATGTACCTGATCATTTTTTAAATAATGTAACAATAAAGTCGACTTCATGGTAGGATCTAGCAAAACTCCAAAGTAAATAAATCAGTCATCTTGTTGTAGGCACCCTAATGCTTGTCGTATTTCGCCCTCATGTCTGTTACCATTTCAATAAATCCGGTTATGGTTGACCAATTTCTTAGATGCATCTAAGACTTCTCGGATAAAGAGATCTACTAAAGGTTTTGATATAGCCAAAACAATCTCCGTTTTTGTCATAAAATCTTCAAGGAACTAGGGAGAGCTTCTGCACCTCTCTCCAAGAGAGACGATTCGGTATCTGAATCGGCTGAAGGAGAGTCATATATATATATATATATCACACTCAGGTCAAAATGCTTTGGTACTCTACCAAGATCATTTTCATACACTTTATTCTATAAAAACACATAAAGCATGAATTAGGATTCATCACAATGTTGAAACAACATAACTTTAGCTATCATAGGTCTCTAACTCAATCAATTTGTAACAAAATAAGATATTTATATAGTCTAAAATGAAATACAAACACTAAACTACAAATTTGGAAAAAATCATGTCATTCTGATTTCAAACGAATGGGTTATGAAAATTTAAAGAAGATGACATATTCAACACAATTAAAAAAAATAAATCTTATACAAAATTCCATAGCCTCTCGTAGCTTGTATGTCAAAATGCTTTGGTACTCTACCTAGATCATTTTCATACACTTTTTTCTATAAAAACACATAAAGCATGAATTAGGATTCATCACAATGTTGAAACAACATAAATTTAGCTTTTATATCCCATGTTGTGGGTCTCTAACTCAATCAATATGTAACAAAATAAGATATTTATATAGTCTAAAATGAAATATAAACACTAAACTACAAATTTGGAAAAAATCATGTCATTCCGCTTTCAAACGAATGGGTTATGAAAATTTAAAGAAGATGACATATTCAACACAATTAAAAAAAAAAAATACATCTTATGCAAAATTCCATAAACGCCTCTCGTAGCTTGTATGCAGTCTTCAATAACTCGAAAGTTAATTTCCGTAAGGTAGGGGTGTTACTACATAAAAACTTCTTCATTTCTAACCCACAATCTTTCATAGTCTCTTTGAACTTGCTTATCTTTTGTGCCGATTGTCTAATATACCTTACAACTTTTTGGATACATTCGACATGGTAGTTGTTAGGTGCATTTTGTGTACCTTTTGTGCATCTTTTAGTCCCTTTTATGCATCTATTTAGCATACATGTCCTTCATTTTTCTTGCATTTCATCAAATTCATGTTAGTCTTTAGAACAACCTTATTTGTAAACTTTTATGATCTTTTCAGGTAAACCGGAGGTTGGAACGCGCTTTGGGAGGTGCCGAGAAGAATGCATGAAGATTTTGGGATGATCGGACGCAAAACAGAAAAGTTGAAAAAAATCAAGATTGGACTTGGAGATAGGAGCATACACGGGTCGTGTTCAGTTTGTACTGGAAAATGCATATGGGTCTTGTTTGACCAAGAAGAGGTTGTTGACTATGCTGAACACGACGCGTGTCAGTTTAGCCTATTCTGACACAGGCCGTGTTGGCTCAAATGAGCATTTTCGAGCATTATGCTTTGGAAGAAAACACGAGGATGACATGCCAATTTTCACTCAACACGACCCATGTTGATTTACTCTATTTTGACACGGGGCGTGTTCATCCCTAAAACCAACTTTTGACAGTTTTCCCTATCTTTCATATTATGGGATTTAGGGCATTTTGAGACTTAGACTTCATTTCTAGAGCACGGGAGAAGGGCAATTTTCAAAGGTTTTTGCAAGGTTTCAATTGTAATCATTTGGAAACATTTGTTTTTGGATTTTTAAGTCTCGTATGTGGATTATTTCATTTTTTCTAGACATGTTGATTGTTATAGTCATGTGTGGCTAGAACCCTAGTTTCTCCAACCTTATGTTTTGACTTATTAGTTGTGATTTCAGTCATATGACTTGATGTTTGCTTTTAATTTCCATCTAGTGAATTTGATTTTGTTTTAATCGAATTTTTTATTCTAATTGTGATTTTTATTGGCCATCTGAATTAGGTTTAGGTTATTCAAGTTATCTAATTGCAAAATCCGTAATTTTTTTGTGAATTGGACTAAGTAACAAGCACTAAACTGATTTCCATGTAATGAATTTAGTGCAAATCTTATTCACACACTCTTACGCTCTCGAGCTTGTGAGGAGCAGTGGGTGTTGTTGGGGACATTCACATAAAGTTTAATGCAATCTTTCAATCTAATTCTAAGAACTTGTTTGATTAAGTTAGTAAGGTTAGGGTTAATCAAAGCGGTTGTTTTGGTTAATTAATGTAGTAAATGGGAAGTGTTAGAGCCTGTTAACACTTTCAAGTACCAACTTAGATAGAATTGAGCAAATATTTAGTAATCTTTGAATCACATTGCTAGTTGTCATACATAGAGTTGGAGTCCTTATAATTTTTAAATTTAATTCACTCATTTAGTCGATTACTTGTGTCTTTAATTATCAGTTCTAATCATTGCATTCAAAACCCTCATTTTCTTGTGATCAAAGTACCTTACATAAAGAGGTATAGACGTTATCCCTGTGTCTCTGTGGATCGACCCTACTTACCCTGTATTATCTATTAGTGCAATATAGCAGTGTTCTTTTGGAGTATTTTGTACCCCTTAATTTGTTGAGCTTGACAACCTAATAATTTTTTTGGAATTTTAGCCCATTCATGACGATAAAGTTTAATATGAGGGCTATAAACCTTATGTGGAAATGATTTCAACCGTCATAAAGATTGGACAACTTCTTAACTAAAAAATTAATTGCCTTGTCGTTATCCACGAAAATAAACATGACATCTTTTATACCCTATCCGCAAATGAAATCTAGTAATTCTTGGCCAATTTCCTATCCTTTGTAGCCATCTATCTCCTTAAAGATTGTTATTATCTTATACGACACCCAATTTGTAACAACCCATTTTCACATTTCAGTAGGATTTAATATGAACATTTGTTTATAAAACTCGATGTAGAAATATATTACTTTTTGGCCAAAGTAATCATCATAAATATTTAGGAAACGTCAATACGGTTTCCTTAGATATATAGAACGTTCGAATATGACTTTGTATGGAGAAGTTATGACTCTTCAAAGTCTCGGGTTCAATCCTAAACGATAAAACGTGTCGTAAAATACGAATAAGAGATGGATTACTTATTAGCCCAAGTAATTTTAACGAAAGTCGTAGTAGTCGTAAAAGCAAGAGCGTGCATATAGAGAACGCTTAAATTTGACTTCATATGAGGAAGTTATTATTTTTTGAAGTTTTAGCGTAACAGTATGCGACACAAAAACCGAATTTTAAGTCGGTCAATTGTTAGGAAAAACAATCTAAATGAGAGTTGAAGATCTTGTGATTAGGAGTCTGTCGATATAAAGACAATCGAGAACGGATGTCGTATGAAAAAGTTATGATTTTTACACGCACTTTAACAGTCTAAGCTTGTTAAAAATATAATTTTAAAAAGTAAAGTGAGAACTAGCCGGTGAAGTCTAAACAAAGTTGTAGATCTCGTCAATAGCTATATGTGGATATAAAAAACGTCAAAAATGGAGTTTGTATGAAGAAGATACGATTTTTTGAAGATTTCTCGGCGACGTCACATGTAGGAGGCACAACGCACGCTTCTAGAAGCCGGCCACGTCGATCCACTAAAAGTATGTCACATGTCACGAGGAAAGTGGCCAACTAGAGCCAGGGCGTGACACGTCTCTAGTCTGTGCGTGACACACTTGCCCCGAAAATGCTCTATAAATAGTCTTTGCTGCCCTCATTCCTCTGCACACCATTTCTAAACTTTCTCTCTAATTCTTTGGCACGAAAATAGGTTCTTTCTTTGGGATTCCAGAGTATTTTAGTTTAGCAAAGCTTTAAGTATCTAGGCTCGACTAGTAGAAGCTCTCAGGTCATAGTTTTGCCAGTGCAATCCCCCGGTTTTCGCTAGAAAATCTCAGTAAGTTAAGCTATACTCATATTGCTTTAAGTGTAACTTATATTTATATTCATAATCGATGTTATGAATATATAATTAAGATTTATCAGTAATCTCAAGTATAATACTGATTGATCTAATTATGAGAGATGTGTCTAGAATGATCACGTTGGTTTGGTTGTTGGATTTAAGAAAAACTATATATCGAAATGACCCTGCCTCCCAACTATCTTATATATCTGATCCTTATTTGATAGAACTATCGGTATTTATTGAGATTAATGAAAGATCTAATCTACCATAGTTGATTTTCACTATAAACATATTAGGAAAACACTGTAAAAAAAACAGATCTTTGTTAACAAAAACTATTGTAATGAAAGATTTAGAAAAACCTACCATATTGTAGGTTGGAAGATCTTGATTAACTTAATTTTCTTTGCAAAATATCATCATCTTGACCTTTAACCTAGGGTAGATGATCAGGAAGAAGGTTACTGAAGTTGAATGTGGTTTTTTTTGGGTTGATGATTGATTGTGTACTTGAAAAGTGATGGTATAGACAGTGTTTCACTAGTTAATGACTTAATGTTGATTATGGAGCAAACCACAAGGACCAAATATGTAATTTACTCAAAAACAAAATAAAAAAGTGCTATTTAAAATGCAACTTTATTTATTTATTTTCCGCGGGGGGAAGAAGGGAGTATATAAGAGCCGGAAAACCGAAAAATGGAAGGGAAGTCGTTTTCGTTGCTCTGGTCCTTCGACCCAAGAGCGGAAAAGGAAACCCAAAAAAGTCGGACAGGTGAACACAAAAAAACGAAACACGCCGATGAAATCAGGGTTTTCAATCACCGGAGCATGGTAGTGGGCGACGGAGAGGTTGCCGGAGGCCTTTCTCTAGAATAATTTTGTCACCTGCAACGTTCCCCCCATAAATTTACACAATCAGAATCATCATTCCTCTTTCATCAATCTCTACCATTTTATTGATGGTAAAACGATTTGAAACAGACTTCCTTCTATCTGAATATAAATTAGATCTTTCTACATTGTAATAAGGAGATCGGTGGTGTTCAATTCGAAGTTTTTCTGCTCTACGTTTCAATTGTTCCCAAAATGGTGAGTTGTTTCTAATATATCATCACCAGTCCAGATTTTTGTCCCGATATCTATCCACATTGGTATTAAAACTTTTTCCTGATTGTTTATGGTACATTGTTACAAAGCCAGATGCTGTTGAATCACCATTGATGACCTAATTGTTACTTAAATGCCTTTTTTGTATTTTTTTCTTTCTTCTGGAGAAGTGTATTTACACAATGAGTTACTGTGAATTGTCACTTGGAAGCTTCGTTTTTTCAAATAGCTTTAAAATTTCCATTAAAGATGAATAAACATTCAATTTGTGAATTGTCGTGCAGGCTACTGCATCCAATATCATAGTAGGATCTCAAGTCTGGGTGGAGGATAATGAGGTAGCTTGGATAGATGGTGATGTTCTTGAAATGAATGACAAAGAAATAAAAGTAAAATGCTCAAATGGACAAGAAGTAAGTTAAAGATTGTTTAGATGACAAAGTTTAACCAAAATACTTTAAAACCTTTTCGGTTGTTTTTTACTGTTACTGTTTCTGTTCTTTTTGGTTCTTTTTATATTTTTCTAATACATTTGTATTGTATAGGTTGTTACAAATGTATCCCGGGTGTATCCAAAAGATCCAGAAGCATCCGAATGTGGAGTGGATGATATGACAAAATTGGCTTATCTTCATGAACCTGGTGTTCTACAAAATTTAAAAAGTCGATTCGATATGAATGAAATCTATACATACACAGGAAATATATTGATTGCTGTGAATCCTTTCCAAAGATTACCTCATTATTATGAAAAAGAAGTGATGAAGAAATACAAAGGAGTAAATCTTGGTGACCTGAATCCACATCCTTATGCTATTGCAGATGCAGCATACAGGCATTTTTTCTTCCTGCTTATCTTAATGTTCAAATAACAGAAAAAAGAAAAAACCATCATATTTTGGGCAGTTTTGCAGCTTAACCACTAATATTTTATTTCTTCCACTTAAACCATAAAAGTTTCACACATTTTTCCAAATTAACCATTATGACTTGTTATATCAGGTTTCACTGACCATTTTGACCTGTCATATAAGTGGTTAACTCATGCTCTTTCCTTCTTCTCTCTTAAGTGCTTATCTTTTAAGGCATTAAGGACTTGTCTGAATGCAGGCAGATGGTTAATGAGGGAATAAGCCAATCAATTCTTGTAAGTGGAGAAAGTGGAGCTGGAAAAACAGAAGCATCAAAAAATCTTATGCAGTATCTTGCTTATATGGGAGGTCGCCCTGGAGCTGATGGAAGGAGTGTAGAACAACAAGTCCTAGAAGTATGCTATACGATCTTTACTGTTTTTAGTCTAAACTTGAAACATATATATAACTTATTTCAAGGTTTCATTTCAATTTTAGACATATATTAATCTCAATCACTAAATGAATCTGTTTGATTCTATCTTTTTGGCAGTCTAATCCGGTTTTAGAAGCATTTGGGAATGCAAAGACTGTTAGGAACAACAATTCAAGGTTCATTCAAGCTGTAGACAAAATTGTATTTTTGAAAATTAAGTTTATGCAACTGAAAATCTCATATCATATTACTGCAGTCGTTTTGGTAAGTTTGTTGAGATCCAATTCAATGGACAAGGGAAGATATCTGGAGCTGCAATAAGAACTTATTTGCTTGAAAGATCACGTGTTTGTCAAGTTTCAGACCCTGAGAGAAGCTACCATTGCTTTTACATGCTCTGTGCTGCACCTCCTGAGGTAATATTAATAATCAGTTTTCTGCTTCCACCTTTTTCATCTGTTGCTTTTACAACCTTCAATGGTGTTTTTTAGGTGTGTGAGAAGTATAAATTGGGGAACCCTAGGACATTTCATTACCTTAATCAATCGAAATGCTATGAACTGGATGGATTAGATGAAGCAAAAGAGTACCTTTCAACCATTAAAGCCATGGATGTTGTTGGAATAAGCTCTGAGGAACAGGTAAGATAAATATATTACAATTTCTCAATAAAAGATTAAAATGTCACCTAAATTGTTTCTTTTTCCTTTTCCCATAGGAAGATATATTCCGTGTAGTGGCTGCAATTCTTCACTTAGGGAATATTGAGTTCACTAGAGGGAGTGAACCAGATTCTTCTCAACCTAAGGATGATAAATCTAGATCTCATCTGAAAACTGCAGCAGAGCTTTTCATGTAGTTAGTCTTCTTTTAATCTGTTTTTCAGTTTATATTCTTACAAAAAGTCTTTCTTATAAAGTTTCAGATTTTGTTTAGGTGTGATGAGACAGCTCTCCAAGAGTCTTTCTGCAAGCGTGTGATTGTAACTCGTGGTGAGAGCATCACAAAATCCCTTGATCCAAATTCTGCAGCTCTTAATCGAGATGCTTTGGCCAAAATAGTTTACTCAAGGTTATTTGATTGGTAAGTTTTTAATCTAAGTAAAAAATTCTCTATTTTCTATTTCGATTATAGGCTTATAGGCTATAGCTCAAGGTGTTTTTTTATTATTGTATCATTCAGGATTGTGAGCAAGATTAATAATTCTATTGGTCAAGATCCAAACTCCAAATTCTTAATTGGAGTTCTCGATATTTATGGATTTGAAAGCTTCAAGTCGAACAGGTGCTTAACTGGTATGCTTTTGGTTCATCATTTAAATAGGTTATTTATTGGACATCACTCCATAAAAGCCCCTAGTTAATGGTCTTGTTAATAAATCAGTCTAAAGTTTAATTTGTGTTTTTGTGCCAAGTTATGGTCATAAATATTAATTGGCTCTATTCATTATGCAGTTTTGAGCAGTTTTGCATCAATCTGACTAATGAGAAACTCCAACAACATTTTAATCAGGTTTTGTGAAATTTAATATATCCTAACATGTAGCATTATATGTTTAAATCTTTGAATCATGTATAACTGATAAAAAATGATTCTCTTTTTGTCTTTTTCCAGCATGTTTTCAAGATGGAGCAAGAGTTGTATACCAAAGAGGAAATCAATTGGAGTTACATAGAGTTTGTGGACAATCAAGACATTCTAGATCTCATTGAAAAGGTCTGCATATTCAAGGACAAAAAAAAGATTTTCTTTTATTTCCTTATTTATTTTATGTTTGTATGTTGATCTAATCTAAGCTTTTGATTGCTTCAGAAACCTGGGGGAATCCTAGCTCTATTAGATGAAGCTTGGTATGTATTCACTTTTTATATTGTTAGTATTTAGCTTTTACTTATTTGTTTCTTTATAATCAATTAATCATTCTCATGCAGCATGTTTCCAAGATCCACTCATATCACATTTGCTGAAAAGCTTTACCAAACATTCAAAGGTCATAAACGTTTTAGCAAACCAAAGCTAGCAAAGACAGACTTCACCATTTGTCATTATGCTGGTGATGTATGCATTTTTCTTTCTTTCTTTATTTTGCTTCTTAATATAACTTAAATAAATAATCCTATATAACTAACCACAAGTCTACAATATATGTTTGGTTTCAGGTCACATATCAAACCGACTTCTTCTTGGATAAAAACAAGGACTATGTTGTTGCAGAACATCAGGCACTTTTGAGTGCTTCTAAGTGTTCCTTTGTATCAGGCTTATTCCCACCTCTTCCTGAAGATTCTTCTAAAGCTTCTAAGTTCATATCAATTGGTTCTCGATTCAAGGTCTAATTTGCTTCTCTCCTTATTCTCACATTTTTATAAAGACATTTTTTTTTTAATGAATTCAACTTAATTTTGCATCTATCATCTTGGCAGCAACAATTACAAGCTTTACTTGAGACACTGAGTCACACAGAGCCACATTATGTTCGGTGTGTGAAACCGAATAATGTTCTAAAGCCTAATATATTTGAGAATCAGAACATATTGCAACAACTTCGATGTGGAGTAAGTAATAACTTTACCACTTATGCCCTTCTTATAATCTTTTTACTTATTAAAAAAAAACGCGAATTTCAGGGAGTGATGGAGGCAATCAGAATCAGCTGTGCTGGATTTCCCACTCGTAAACCTTTCCATGAATTTATCGAACGCTTTGAAATCCTTTCACCTGATGTTGTACATATGAGGTACTAATGTAGTTAGTTAGTTCATCATCAGTTATGATATGTTTTATGTTTTTTTTTAATCTTTTATAGTTTTATTCATCTGTAGTGATGAGGTGGAGGCTTCAAAGATTCTGTTAGAGAAGGCTAACCTTGAAGGCTATCAGATTGGTAAAACAAAAGTGTTTCTGAGAGCAGGACAGATGGCAGAAATAGATGCTCGAAGAAGCGAGGTTTTAGGAAGATCAGCTTCTAAGATCCAAAATAAATTTCTTTCATATTCTGCTTGCAAGAAGTTTACCATGTTACGATCTGCAGCAATACCATTACAAGCTTTTTGTAGAGGTATAGACTATAGACAAGTATCACCTTTCTATATACAACTTTGTGAGTTTCAAATAACCTCACTCCCACCTTTTTAGTATGACTCAGTTACCCAATGGGACAAAAGTTACCCACCTTTTTCAATGGGACAAAAGATTGTAACTTTTGTGAGTTTTTCCACCTTTTTACTTTTTGGTGTGACAAAAGATTGTAACTTTTGTAAGTTTTTTTTTTTAATCTTTTTGCTTTTTGATGAGATAAAAGAATGTAACTTTTGTGAGTTTTTCCACCTTTTTGATTTTTGGTGAGATAAAAGATTGTAACTTTGTGAGTTTTTCCATCTTTTTGCTTTTTGGTGAGACAAAAGATTGTAACTTTTGTGTGTGTTTTCCACCTTTTTGCTTTTTGGTGAGACAAAAGATTGTAACTTTTATGTGTGTTTTCCACCTTTTTGCTTTTTGGTGAGACAAAAGATTGTAACTTTTATGTGTGTTTTCCACCTTTTTGCTTTTTGGTGGAACAAAAGATTGTAACTTTTGTGTGTTTTTCCACATTTTTGCTTTTTGATGTGACAAAAGATTGTAAATTTTGTAAGTTTTTTTTTTTTTTTTTTTTAAAATACCTTTTTGCTTTTTGGTGAGATAAAAGATTGTAACTTTTGTGAGTTTTTCCACCTTTTTGCTTTTTGGTGTGACAAAAGATTGTAACTTTTGTAAGTTTTTTTTAATCTTTCTGCTTTTTGATGATGAGATAAAAGAATGTAACCTTTGTGAGTTTTTCTACCTTTTTGATTTTTGGTGAGATAAAAGATTATAATTTTTGGTGGGACAAAAGATTGTAACTTTTGTGAGTTTTCCACTTTTTTGCTTTTTGGTGAGACAAAAGATTGTAACTTTTTGATGGGACAAAAAATTGTAATTTTTGGTGGGAAAAAAGACTGTAACTTTTGGGTGGGAGAAAGTTTCAAATGATCTGTGTCCCACCTTTTTGGATGGGACAAAAGATTGTAACTTTTGTGAAAATTTCCACTTTTTTGCTTTTTGGTGAGATAAAAGATTGTAACTTTTGTGAGCTTCAGTTAGTTTAATGGAACTATGAACTTCAGTTTTATATGTAGCTTATATAATCTACTGTTACAGGGGAAGTTGCACGCTCTTGGTATGAGCGTAGGAGGAGAGAAGTGGCATGTTTGAGGATCCAGAAAATTGGACGCATGCATTTTGATAGAAAAGCCTACAAATTCTTACACTCTTCAGCTATTCAAATTCAAAATGGAATGCGTGGGATGGCTGCACGCAAAGCATATAATCATAAAAGGCAAACAAAAGCTGCAATTGGCATCCAGGTATTGCAATTCCTTTCAGATTCAGGAATAAATGACAATCTGCTTTTCATTATTCTCTTTGAAATACTTTTTCAATTATACATAAACTAACCATGTTAAAACAACTCATTCCAATCCTTCAAGTCAACTAAACACAACAATGGAATGTAATGATTCATTCCATTACCTTGATAATTCCAATCAATCATATCAACCAAACCCTATATATTTCTTAAACTGATATTGTTTGATGAACAACTTTCAGACTCGCTCACGTCATCATCTGGCATGTCGTCGTTATTTGAAGATGAAGAAAGTGGCAATTTATGCTCAGTCTGTGTTAAGAAGAGACTTGGCACGCATTGAACTTAGGAACCTTAAAAAGGTCACTCTTTCACATGCTCTTTTTTCTTTTATTATTCTACTCTTGAGCTTTATATTTGTTTACAACACAACCATGGTTAATTTCTTTTCCCTTTTCGAGTTTTTTAGTTATACTATATTCTAAGTATTCTTTTAGTGGAAAATTGCGAAAAATAGCAACATACTTTCATCTATTTATTGATAATAACAATATGTAACCTGAAACTTGTAAAATGTCCACAAATGTTAAATTACATATTACTACTATTGGTAAAAGACATAAGTACGTTGCTATTATGTGTAAATGAGAAAGTAAATTACCTATATTGCCCTTCATAAATGAGCCTTAAAAAGGTTTCATGTCGTGTAGGCAGCAAAAGATAGTCGTGCTCTTGAACAGGCTAAAGCTAAATTGGAAAGAGAACACAAAGAACTCACAATGCGATTAGAACAGGAGGAACGCATGAGGGTAAATATTTTTGTTATTAATTTATATTTAAATTTGTTTGTTTTTTTTATTTAATTTGTATTTGACTTTTGTAGGCTGAGGCAGAAGAAGCTAAAAATAAGGAAAAGGCTATACTGGAGTCTAGTTTAAAGGAGATGGAAAATCAATTGGTGATGCATAACTTCCTAACAATTTGTTTTATTACTTTATATATATGAAATAAAAGATTACATAAAGCAAAAGTTTAGTGTTTAACTTTTTATCTTATTTTATTTATTGTTTGATTTTGTTTCAAAATTTGTAGGCAGAGGTGGAGGAAGCTAAAAAGAAGGAAAGTGAAAAAATGCAATCTGCTTTGAAGGCTGTTGAAGTTCAATTGGTGCTTTGTGACTTTCTAACAACTTGTTTTAAATACTTATTTTAGTTTTTATTTTTCTTTTAATGTTTGATTTGTTTTTCAAAATTTGTAGGCTGAGGTGGAGGAAGCTAAAAGTACAGAAATTGCAAATCTGCAGACTACTTTAAAGGATGCAGAAACTCAATTGGTGCCCTTTTAACTTTCCACAACTTGTTTTATTTATTTATACAAAACACATGAAATAAGAGAACAACTTTAATTTCAACTATAAACTATCTTTCCTTTGTTTTTGATTGTTGATTTTCTTTCAAATTTTGTAGGCTGAATTGGAGGAAGCTAAAACTAAGGAAACTACTCAACTACAGTCAGCTTTAAAGGATGTGGAGGAAAAATTTGTACTTTTTTTTTAAAAACTTTTTACAACTTATTTTATTTCTTCATACACAAGACATGAAATTCAAGATTATAAAAAGCTAAACTATGTATTTTTCTTTTTCAATTTTTGTAGGTTGAAATGGAGGAAGCTAAAAATAAGGATATTGCAAATCTACATTCTGCTTTAAAGGAGACTGAAGTTCAATTGGTGCTCCATAACTTTCTGATAACTTTTTTCAATGTTATTTCACACAAAGCATGAATTATGAGATCAAGAAAAGCATAACTTATTTTTTTCTCTTTAAAAATCTGTAGGAAGCTAAAAATAAAGAATCTGCAAAACTTCAGTCTGATTTACAAGAGATGGAAGTTCAAGTCCAAGAAACTAAACAACTATTAGAGTCTAAAAAGATAGAACTCGAGCAACTTGTTGCTACTCACAATGAGAAAGTAGAAAACCTTACTGCTGATAATGTGAAATTCCAGGTTAGTTTTTGATCCTGTTTTGACGATTATACCCTCCTTATAATATGATTTATTGTATTTCATGGTATCTCTGAACACTTGCAGGAAAAGGTTAGTACACTAGAACAGGAAATTAGTGAAACACAAACAAAATTGGAAGAAACCACAAAATTGAGTGAAGATAGGTTGAAGGAGGCCATGGAAGCAGAAAATCGGATAATTGATATAAAGATTGACATGCAAAGGTTTTATGCTCTGATATTATTTATGTTTTTCAAGTCTTTTATTATAATGGAAAATTACAGGAAATAGCAATGTAATCTATACTTTTTCCTTCTTTAGTCTTCAAGAAAAGATTGCTGACATGGAAGCTGAGGAAGAGATTCTGAGACATAAGGTGATTTTATTAGGGAATTATTCTTAAAATATATGTTAAGAGTTTGAATAAAAATGTTTTGTAATCTTTTTCGCTTTATAATAAGCTAAAAAGAGTAAAAACACAACCCTTTTATTTTCAGCAACAAAGGAATGGAGGACCTTCAAAGGAATTTGATAGCAACTTGACAAATTCCACAATAGGAAAGGAGCGTGTATGTTTTTCGACTTTCATTTTTAATATTTTATTAATATTTATTTTGATTGTTTAAAAACTTTTTTTTTGCCTTAAATTTCTCTATAGGATTTGGTTGATGCTCTTATGAAAGCTGCTACACAAGAACTTGGATTTTCTCAAGGGAAACCAGTTGCTACTTATGTTATATACAAAAGTCTTTTACACTGGAAAACTTTTGAATTAGAAATAACAACTGTATTTGATCGTATTATCCAGACCATTGGTTCTTCAATAGAGGTGAGATGTTTATTTCTTTATTTAATAAATATTATATAAAATGAAGTGAACACTAAATTAACTTGAATGTTATTTGTATTCTTACAGAAAAAAGAAGACATCAAACACATGGCTTATTGGCTCTCTTTTACTTCAACATTGTTTTTTCTGATTCAAAAAACTTTAAGTCCAGCTCCTCAAAAACCCCAGCAGCCAACATCCTTATTTGGAAGGATGACACATGTACATAATATCTTATCTTTTATAAAAATCAATGGGTACTTTTTATATTAATTTGTAAACTGTTATTATATCTGTAGGGATTTCGATCAGCTTCCATTATTAGTATAGTGCACCATGTGGAGGCCAAATACCCAGCTTTGCTTTTTAAGAAGCAACTTGCAGTTTATGTTGAAAAATTATATGGATTTATTCGCAACAGCTTGAAGAAAGATTTGTCACACTTTCTTTCCTCTTGTATCCAGGTACCATATATTTTTTTTTTGGAAAAAGTAGCATATTTTTGATAAATGCTAATTTCATAATTTCCTAAAAATTCAGGCACCAATTACTTCAGATGGTAAATCTTATCCAACTACTTATTGGGAGAGCATCATTGAAAGCCTAAATGGTGTTCTTGATACACTAAAAGAGTTCCATGTAAGTTATTATTACTTTTTTGTTTTACACAATATGTCATCTATAATTTTGAACTCTCTCTCACTTGTGTACGTCCTCGTGTTTTCAGGTGCCACCTGTCATTATTCAAAAGGTTTTTGCTCAAGTTTACTCTTTCATTGATGTGCAACTCTTCAACAGGTAACCAGAGATTCTATTTCTAAGTTCTAACCATGTGAAACTAGTTATATAATATCATATATGGTTATATAATCTTTTGGATTATAAAATATGGAACCTCAGTCTTGTTATGCATAAAGAGTGTTGTACACTTGGGAATGGGGAGTATGTGAAATCAGGGTTATCTAAATTAGAAGCTTGGTGTACTAAGGCAACTGCAGAGGTACTAGTTATATATTTTTTGTTTCTTATTTAAATATTGGTTGAAGTGAGTTGGTAGGTCTAACCACTTATTGACTCAGTATGCAGACTCAGCATCGGATGAACTTCAGCGTGTAAGACAGGCAGTTGGATTTCTGGTATGCATGCATGCTTATTTACTTTATCCAAAAATCCCCTAAAAAATCAAAACTAAACATGAATTTTTGAGTTTTTTCAGGTTATAGAAAAGAAGTCTAAAATCACATATGATCAACTCACAACTAATATATGTCCTGTAAGTCTCTCCTGTTGTTAATCAATCTACAGTAATAAGTTAAATGATATATATATTTTTTGAGTTTTTCAGGTTCTAAGTATTCAACAAATTCACAAAATCTGCACATTCTATGCAAATGACAATGAAGGAAGCAATAGCGTCCCCCAAGAAGTAAGGATAAAATAAAAGTATAATAAGAGTTGTTTATTTGGCACTCATGGTTTTCAATAATATTAGGTTATTTCCAAGTTCAAAGTTCTAATGCATGAGGACACCGAAAGCCCTGATAGTGACTCCTATTTGTTGGATGACAATTCTAGGTACGTATGTTTAATAGTAAATTGCGCATATATACATATAAACAATATTATGTATTTCAAAATAGTGAAAGGTCTGATGGTGTTGAATTAATTCTATTTGGTTGCAGCACTCCTTTCCCAGTTGAGGAAATTAGTAAATCAATAAATGAGAAAGGTTTTTCAGACATGAAACCTCCAAATGAACTCCTTGAAAACCCTGAGTTTCAGTTTTTAAAGGAGTAGGGCTCTGTGGTTGTGGCTGCTTTTATTTATTAATTTTTTTGGTTGGAAGGACACACAAACACACACACACACGCGTGCGTATTCATGGGAAAAGATTTCCCTTCCCAATCCAAAGTCCAAACCAAACCTTAATTGGTGCACCCCAACTCTCACCAAACCTCATTGCGCACCTCCAAGTTTCACATTGTACATAACAAACCCTAATCTTTCAATTCTTAACCGAATACTCCCTCCCTGGCTTTCCTCAGAAGCTCTTTAACCACAAACTTGGTGTACACAACGTTTCTTGCTTTTCTACATACTTTACTTGATGGAGGTCTTTTTGATAATTTGTGACTCTTCAAAGATGATCAACACTGATGGCTGGATGAAGCACGGTTTTATTGATTGCCAGCTGGCTATTGGGTGGCTCTTTGATTCAAACTTGAGAAAAGTTTCAGAGGATTTTATTTTGGATCAATCCTTCTGTTATGGTGGAGATTTTGAGAGCTCTTCATGGAAAGTATAAGACCAATCAATCTTTCAGCCAGCAGCCATTGGAGACTTGATGTCAAGCTCTCTTACCAATGACATTAAGTTCAGTGAAGATAATTTCCCTACAGCCATTGGAGACTTGATGAAAACTTCTGCTTGGGTCATGATGTAATATGGGCATTAAAACTTATACCCATGCCTCACCTTGGGTATGTATGCACATGGATACTTTTGAAAAAAAAAAGTACTGTAAAAAGGATGTGTCTCTACATTTTTGTTATAGTATTAGACTATTAGTAGGTATTTGATCATGCTTCAAGCATAAAAAATACAAGTCATTTTGGGATGGAAACTCTCATATTTGTTTTGTGACATATGCTAAGGTCAGGTGCTTAATTAACAAAATCAAGTTATTATATAGAATATACAAAATATACTTTCATGCTAATATGAAAATATAATGCAATGCATGGATTTCATATCATCATTTATTTTTACCATCATGAGGGAACAAATTAACTGATAAGTTAGGGGTGTTCGTTTGGATGGACGAGTTCTCATCCAATCCAATCCGTTCAAGTGAATCCAAATTGATTTTTGTTTTAAAACGTGGATCGGTCAACTCAGTTTTCAAGACTCGAGACATTTAAAAAACTATATAACTTGAATATTTGTAAATTAAAAAAAAACAAAATGGTTATTTGTAAATTAAGATTTGTAACGCGCGCACACACATATATATATATATATATATATATATATATATATATATATATATATATATATATATATATATATATAATTTAATATTTATTTTGAACATCTAAAATTTATATACCTCAAGACTAGCAATGAGGGCAAAAACATTAAACTTTGTAATTTTACTTTTAAGCGAGAGGAAAGGTGTCGTCTTGATAAAATCAACGATCTCAAACTTTCGCATAACCAAAATCAACACCACATCATGCATATCCAAAGGAACCCAACATGTCACTAACACCATAAGTTCCCGTCTTTCCTGACGTGTAGTCACCAAAAGCATGACATCCATCCAATACATCCATTTGGAAATAAAATGGACTCGAGGCACCACCGCATCCACACTTCCACCACTACTACACATGAGCATAACACGTTAATTTATATACATTCTTGTAAAATATAGGGTTCCCTTTATAACTTTTTGTGTCATATTTATACTAAAATATATCACCGTAATCTCTAAGGGTTTTTCACAATTCAACATGATATCAAGCTACAATTCTCATCCTATACCCTACGTGACCGATCAAAGCAAAAATATATATATATTTTCTTTTTCTCTTCATCCACTGCTACATGTGATTCTCTGTGGTTATCGTCAACCTCTCCTGACATTCTATTGATGCTAGAATCCAGTCATGGTTTTATACTATACATGACCCGAGTTTGCTCCAAATTATTTCTATGGATGATTGCACTACAAAGGACCCTTATGACAAATTGGATGAGTTTTTTTCGCAACAACAAAAATGTCCCGTATGCTTAAACTGCAAGACCAATTTCGTAATACTAAAAAAGGCTCTAGTTCCATTACCGAAATTTCAACACACTAAAAAAAGCCGTTTCCATCTTTCCTTGAAGCCAAGAACACGCTCTTATTGCATGAATCCCGCGAAGCTTCTACAAAGTTACCTCTTGACACTGTTAGTATTGACAGACCCTTCAATTGGCTTTTCACAAACAAACAAATAATAGAGCAAGGAATTAATAGAGATTAGGCAAATGTTTTTCTATATTATTCACTTCAACAGGGGATATAACCAACGTACACAATGCCTAGAATTTAAAGAAAGGAAATTGCAGGAAAATAGGAACTACCAACTACTTGCTAAAGACCAGGGGCATATCTGTCACATGGCCTTGAGTTATTCTTCCTACTCAATTTAAACATGCAAAAAATTGAATAAAATACTTCTGAATTATTTTAACACTTTCCCCCTTAATTCAGAAGTTGGTGATTGCCTTCACTCGAATCAGATCTCTCATTTCTTCATGCTTCACTCTTGCCATTGTCTTTGTGATAATTTTTGCTTTCTCTTCGCACCACACACATGACTTACTATTATCTCCCCATTTTAACCACATTCTCTAATAAAGTGATACATTATGTCAATGTGTTTGCTACGTCCATGGAACACCGGATTCTTCATTAATTCAAGAGCTGAGCGATTATCAATAAACAGAGCTACAAGTGGCACCTTTTGCCCGATTATTTCAGTGAGAAGTCTCCGAAGCCAAATACCTTAGCAAGCTGCCATGGTTGCTGCAATAAACTCTGCTTCACAGGACGACAAAGCTACATTGTGTTGCTATTGTGAGACCCATGTTACTAGATTGCCATTCATGTAGAATGCTGTCATGGTTTTAATTTATGTTTCAGGTACTTCCGGTTCCAAGGGGAAGAGCTCGGGTTGACTGCATCGCACACGCCATGTGGATTCTGTTTATGGGACATACTCTGATTTTTATGATGTTTGACAGATTCATTTTATTGGGTTGTATGAACAATGTTTTGGAATACTGTTTTTTACTTAAATAAAAAATGAAATTTTTGCGTCATAATTTTTGGATGCTTCATATATATATATATATATATATATATATATATATATATATATATATATATATATATATATATATATATATATCCTTATTCTAATAAATGAATAGTTTTAATCCTCTTTTTCCAAGTGTCACTCTAATACAACTCCTCAATAATATTATATATCATGTGTCCTCATTAATATTATATATCATGTGTCATGTAGATATATTAGGCAACTCATTTCAAAAGTCATATTTACATTTTCTAATTATATGAAATATACTACCGCAATCCCTATGGGGTTTTCCACAATTCAACATGTGATCGCCCAAATCAAAATTGGAGCTACAAGAAGCACAACCAATGCTCTCCAAATTGAAACCCCTTTTGAACAAATTTAGATGTGTTAGCAACCTGTCTAACATAGCTCTTAACAAGAAAACATTAAGGTGCTGTTTGTTTTTCTAAAGCTAAAATGTCTGCAGTCTACGGACCATATTTTCAAGCCATCGCAAAAGAAAAGGTGGACCAAACGTCTGCAATCTGTATGAAGAAGATTGTTTGTTTTTTAACGTCAACATACTCCTAAAATAAACTAGAATTTAAGTAAAATGATTTTACAACCTTAAAATAGTTTTTCAACACTGAAATTAAAATAATTTCAATCTTAAAACATTGAAATAAAATCCATATTGCCACAGAAGCTTGTTAATTTCGGTCTTAAAACAATGAATCATCCCATAAGCTTGTTTCACTGTTTATGACAACCAATTAATCATCCCACAAGCTTGTTACTTTTTGTTTATGTATGTAATATTTTATTCAGTATTTTGTAAGAGGTAGCATCCTTCGGTTCCAAGAATAAAAAAAAATAGAGTACACTAGACTTGTTAAATTAAACATGCAAACTCCATTTTCTAAAATATTGCATCAAACAAAAAAGCTCTATATTAAAGTCATAAAAAGACTAGTTGTTAAATCAATAGATCTCGATAAAAATAAATGCACTAAAAATAAACGCACTAACTTGTCATATGATCTATATACAGTTTCAGGAACCAGGAATTTCTCAAGTTCTTCTATCATTTCTAATTGCCAACAAAACAAGCCTTGAACTTATACTATTTTACTTGTCCCTAATTGCATTTCCAGCAAATTCAAGTACCTACAAACAACAAGATCAATATTAGAAGATGTTATGTGATTAATAATTCAAATCAAACCAAGAAACTTTCATATTTAAGCATGATGTTCTTCATTATAATTCAAAACTTTAGAAAATTTGTATGTCCCTAGAAAATATAAATAAGAAAATGTCCATATACAAAATCCCTAATAAAGGTTAAGCTGAACAAATTATATACATATCTAGATTAAGCAAAAGATTAATAGAGAAAAATTAGTTCCAACAACAATAACATCAGATTTCAACATTTCAACAAATTATATACATTTTCAGCAAATATAACATCAAATTTGAACAATTTCAACAAATTATATGAATTTTCAGCAAATATATATGATAATTAGCAACAATGAATATCTTGATTCAGAGCATTAACAACAAACCCTAAAAAGATATCATCCGATTTTAGGGGAAAAAACTTTACTAACAGCTTACCGGTAGCAGCAAACATCGCCGACGTTTGTGAGATGGTGTGCGATGGAGACGAAGGGTGTGACAAGCGGCGTTGATGTGAGTGGACGAAGGTAGATCAGATGTTCGATGGTGGAGGGAGATGTCGATGGTAAGGAGGTGTTGATGGATGTTGGCGATAGCTTTGGACGTCCTCCTAGATGGCGATGACATCGACCACGGGTCTGGACGACACCGTAAAGGAGAGGAGGAAGATGGTTGGTGAATGAGATGTTGTAGGGAAGCGCCGATATATGGAGAGAAAGATGTGAGTGTTTTTTTAGGTTTAATAAAGCGTGCAGACATAAGAAGACTTAAGACTATATCATTGTCATGAAGAACTCGCGCATGCATATGTTTCTATGTCTATGGACTTCTGAAAAACACACAAACTACAAATCATTATATCTGCACAATGCAGACAAAAGAGGCCACGCAGATTTGCTGATAAAAATAAAGAGCCCCTAACTTTCTTTGGAACTCCCTTACATCATCTAGGTTTATTTATTTATTATTTATTTATTTTTTATCAAAAGCAACTATGTTCCTATTATGCATTTGATCAATAACAGGCACTATTCTAGACCAAACTCCTCTGCCTTTTCACATATCAATAATCCCTCCACTAACACCATTGTCCATCTTCACATCACGCGTCCAAAGATCGCCCCCGTTACTAATAAATCTCCAACGACATTTCAAAAGTAAGGCTCGATTGAACCCTGCCAAAGACCCACCCCCAAACATCCTTTATCAAAATAAGGCAATACTTTATCCCATCGGATCCACAACATTCTTTTTGTTTTTTTACCCAAATCGGCTTCTCAAAAGAAATTAGACCCCAACTGTAACGCCCGCAAATCCGAACTAGTCAATTTAGAGGCAATAGGAGTCGAAAACGACTTTTCGACAAAAGATTATTTAGAATAAATAATCTTAACCAAGTTTTAGTATATGTCACGAGGTTTCCGTACATGTAAAGAACGTCGAAATCCGAGTTATAACGAAGAAGTTATGACCCGTCGAAATTTCGCGACAGAACCGGCACAGCACCGGGAAGCGTAAATAGTGAATTTACGATAGAGCGAGATTTAGCCTTAGCGATCTAAACGAAAGTCGTAGAATATGTTAAACTAAGAACATCGATAAAAAGAACGCCCAAATCTGACTTCGTATGAAGAAGTTAT